ACTTTCCTGCAATGGAAAGTAACAGAGCTGGGATTCTCTTTTTGCCCAAACGAATATAAGGGCTGTGTATTAATTTTAAACTATGTCAGTATTGTAGAATTTCAAAGATTGAAATGATATATGCAGGAAAATGTGGAATTTCCACCAGGGACTGTAATTCATATATTATGGGAGAGATTAAAGAATAATAAATTTTGGAAGGAAGTATTAATAGCTATATGGGGCATTGTGAACTTGGCATTCCCTGATGTCTGGAACTTTGTATCTTAAGCTTTAAAAATGATTTGTGCAGGAGAATATCTAAGCAGAAAACAGTAGATGTTCTGACTGACCAGTTATATATTATATGAGTCATGAATTTAACAAAGAAGAAAGCAACTGACCTTTATAATGAACAGATAGAATAATTTTTGCTATTGGATCATCACTCTTTTTCTGAGAGAAAGACAGATGACAGGGAAACATAGAATATTTCTTTTATCATTAGGCAATGAATGATGGTACAACTCCTAAAAAGGACTTGACATATACCAGTATTCATGTTTAGCTCTTTCCAAATCAATCGATTGAATACCCTACTACTTACATGCTGAAGTCTACACTTTAATCTCTATATTTGTCTGCTTTAAAAATCATTTTGGTGGAATATTTTAAGTAAAATCTACATTTAAAGCACATTTAAAGAGGAAATGTTTCCTGCATCTCTTGGCCAAACTAGCCCAGAAAGCAGCCTGTGGTAGTTCACTTTCCAGTGACCTGACCTGATGGACACCAAAATATGCTAATAAAGCAACTGAGACATTATTCAAAGTCTTAGCATAAGACTGATTTGGCCATGGAGATCTCATAACCTTATCACCTGAAAGATGCAGGCTTTCCGGAACAAGCAAAAGTCAGATTGCCAGGACTGTTCTGGAAAGCTTTCAAGTGCCCTTGGCTATGGTATAGACATAGCACTTCACTCTCCCATGCTTCCCCCAGCAATTAGCTCACTGTAGAAACAAAGAAAAGTAAGAAGCAGTTGTGCAGAGGTGAAAAAAAAGAGTTGAAAGAGTGAGCTGAAAGATACCAAAGCTGTTAGCACATACAGTATTCTCCAGGTGTAGGTATATACTGCATTTCTTTGTGGAAGTCTGGGTCCCAGAGGTGCCATGTGTACCACGTGATGCAGGGGTTACCTGACTTATTTTATTGAATGCTGTAGTAAATGGTTGCACAAAATCCAGTGTAAATACCAAAGTGCAAGCTAGAGCTGCCCCTGGGGAGCTTTAACTTATGCACTGTCCCATAAAACTCACATGTAGGGAAATGAGCAAAAGTCTGAATGCTTTTTTATGCTGTAACCCTTCATGGTAAAGCAGTTCATACTGAATGTTTCCATTGTTTCTTATGGACAGGAGAAGTAAGATTAGCTTGGGAGGGAATGTCCCATTTTCTCATGTGTTATATTCTTCAGCCAAGTAAAGCCCCTAGGCTTGGCAGAATCCAGGGCTCTCCAAACCTGTGAAGTTCTTGACCTGGGGCTGATAAAACAGGGTCAGCACAGTAGCATGCTAGCCACGCTATCCCATTCTCTGTACATTTTTCATAGCTCCCAGTTGCTCTGATATGAACCAAACATGTTAGTCTGATCAAAAGTAATTCTGGCAAGGCAGGATTCTTAATAAAGGGCAGAGCTGGGTGTAGGCATAGATAAAATGCCATTTAACACACAGGATATTTTGCAGCATGCAGTCCTTGTGCCAAAGTAAAATGCTATAGAACAACACCACAGGCATTCAGCTCCAGACCAAGGGCTGCAGAAGGCCTTGCATATAGCAGAGCCACTGTTTTGGGGCATAAGGGGTAAGGATGTAAAGAATACACCTAAGAGTGTCTTTGGTTCTGCAGAGTTATACATCAGGAAGGCTCTTCCTTCCCTAGAATGCAGGGAGGTCTACCAGAAGCAGAGTAGGGGAGAGCAAGTACACAGTAAATTTACCTGCCTTCCTTGCCCTCCCAATGCTAGGTGCAGAAGAACTGCCCTTTCTTTCTCCCCTGAAACTACATTCAGGTTTTGCTGAGATGCATTCAATTGAAAGCAACCACTGCGCAATTCAGGACAATTCTGGCACTCTGCCACAATAATAACTGACCAGACTACCACAGTAGCAGCATATTTTGTGCTAGGAATGCTTCAGACATACTGGAATAGCTGCAAAGAGTGAGGTTGGGAGGAGATAGGAAGATAAGGTTGGCTGAGCTAATACATGGTCCCAATGGTCTATCTTCTTCCCCTAGGATAACAGCCTTCTCCTGTTGCCAATTAATATAGCCAGTCCTGGAGCTGATACTATATCAATCTGAACAGCAACATTAATGGTTCAGGACTCAAATACTGATGATGATGATGAAACATGAGGGGGGAATTAGTTCATAACTTCCATTAGTTCATAGTTTGTATTTACCTCTTCCTGTTAAATATAATCCAGGAAATTAAACACGTAAAAATTGCATTAAATTCATGTTCTTTGGCTTGCAAAGTCATGTACTTGAAAGTTTTGAAATGCCAGATTTATGGTTTGTACATGCAATCTTATTTGGATCCCTTTTACATATATGTATTATGATAGTCTTTAATGACATAATCACATGCTATTTTTCCTAAAAGGACCCCTGCCTAATTCAGCGTGGAGGACAATCTTAAAATTGGTGCTTCCACATTAGGGTGCGAAGTCAAGAATTGAACATAATAGTAAGCCAGATTTTTGTTTGTAGATAATATTCATATAATTTGTAACAATACTTTTCTTTACACTGGAGTTAAAATTAATTTTAGATTCCTAATTTGAATCTAACATAGCACTATGGTAACCAAGAATAGAGCATGAAAAATAGCAATTATTTTGATCATCAGCTAATGTGTATTTTCACAGCTTCAGTGACAAGGAATCTGTAAGCAACTGTGTAATCTAACTGATTTCAGAAATGAATTCTTTCAGTTATGTGCCTACCATGCTGCATGCATAACCAGTATTTTATAAGGAGACACAAATAATGGGTGCTTGTGGTAGCCTGAAAGTTAGAATTTATGTAGCTGAAGATTTTTTAAGATGAATGTCAGAAGCACGATAATTTTGGCAAACCTACTTATAAAGTGCACAACTCTGTTCAGTTCCAAATGTAACCAACCCTCAAGACACACACGCATAAGTTATGATATATTCACCTGGGCAAACCTCTGAAATTGTACCTCTGAAAAGGGTGGAAATGCATTTTATGGGCTATCAACCTTCTGCTTCCAGTTTTCAAACTACAAAGTTTGAAAGCTGAAATACGTAAGAGGTAAACTGTGATCAGACATGTAAATTAGTAAATAAATAAATAAATAAAGCTGGTATTTCTAACTTGTTTCATTGTTACTAGTTCATATTTACCAGAGAAAAGAGAATTGTTTGAAAAATACTGGAAACTGCTTTCTTCCTTGAATTCTGTGGAATTTGACTGAAAATAGGGTGCCAGGTGATGCTCAACTTTAGGGGTCAGCAACCTGTTCAGGCTTCAGGCTAGACTGACCCAGTTCAGGTCAGAGGTGGACCTAGCTACAGCTGCCACTGCTTCTCCCAGCACCCACCTGGGGACAGTGTCGGCAGCTGACAGTTTTCCCTGTGGTGGCAGAGGTCTTTCCCCTGTCACCACAGACATGAACACTGGCTGCAGACACACTTCCCATGCTGCTACAGGGAAAAGCAGCAGTGGTAGCTGGGTCCTAAAGCCCACTTGCCCGCCGTGGACCCATCCACCTCTGACCCAAACTGGGTCAATCTGACTGCAGAAGCCCCACATCTGTGGGATGGACCAAATGGTTTGTGGGCTGAATCTTGCCTGCAGGCCATTGGTTGCTGACCCCTGCTCTACTTCAGAGATCGGTATTGCCATTCTCCGGGTGCCTATAGACATGCAGGGAGGCTGTATTTACAGCACCTCAGAGTAGACTCAATTAATTGAGTCTGCTGGAGAATGCTAATTAGTGCTCTGCAGCGGTTTCCGCGTCTCATGCATCAGCATCTCTGTGCTTCAAATGGCAGCAGGCCACTTTAACTAGACCTCGTTCAATAAGCTTTAGTGAAAGCACAAGATCCTGCAGGCACTTTAATTAGAGCAGCTCCAGCACCACTACCCTCCTTATCCCTGGGGCATGTGTAAAAACGACCTCTTTGCTAAAGTCTGATCACCATCCCACTCAGATCACCATACAGCAATGCCAGAGAAAGTCTAAAAAGTACATGGAAGATGGTTAAGGAGTGGAACTGGCCTTCCCTTCCCTCCAAACACCTCCAATGTGTGACCACACTTAAAACTGAATTAATTATTGGCATTATAGGTAAAATTAATCCCCAATGTAAATTCAGTGACATTAATTAGATTTACCTCGCACACAAATCTGGCCCAACAGAATTAATTTGTTAATACTGAAATCATAATAAAGAATGCTTTACTGTCATTAATGCTGGTTGAGTTCTGAACTACCAGGTTGCTAAAGGTTGTTACACATCACATATCTGCTACCAGCTGGTAGCAGATGTGAGGTATGACATCAGTCCCAAACTGCCTTAGATTCTCTAAATCACAAATATGCAGAGGCCCCCAAATCTGACAAAGTTTTTCTACTTTCTTCCTGATTTCCATGCTTTTATCACCAAGTGAATAATCTTTGCCAATTCTGACTTGGCTGCTGCACTTCAGCGCTTGATGGATATAATAATCAGAATGCTGGAGAAGGTGCATCACAGTCATTTTCTTCCATGGTCATTTTATTGGCTCTGGCTGGAATTTGTTCATAAACAGAACATCATCTGCCACTCTGAAGCAGACGTAGCTTTCTTGCAATAATGGGAAAATACAGTCCTCAGGGAAAGTAATCAATTCACTTTTAAAGGGAAAATTATTCAGCAAATTCAATAACTCCATGTAAGAAAGCAGCAGTACTAGCTGGTAGACAGCACGTAGACAGGACTCACCTCGTGCAGGCCGCAACTCAGTGATGTTCTCTGTGGCTTCATCATCCGAGTCCCCAGTTGCCACTACCTTATATCTATTGCTGCTCTGCTGGTTCAGCACGTGAGGGACTTGCAGGGCAGCCTCTCTCTCAGCAGCCAGATCCAGATCTTGCTGAGCGAGGTGGGCTCTCAACTGCCTAATTTCAAACTGGAGGGGAAAGAGAAAATACACAACATAAAACAATGTGGTACAAAAAAAAGCCACCTGAAAATCATTATTCACAGGAGACTTGGCATAGTGTCCAGTTTGCTGTTTTAAGGCCTGCACTTACAGCAAATTCTCTTCTTGACACACAGCCAGAATAAACTGGGGCTTGACCTGAGGGAGTCCACGGAGCTGGAGTTTCCTCCTCAGACGCCCAGTAGTGGTAGCACTCCTGCTCTCCCCACCCACTGCCTGGTGGAGGGGGAAGTCTTACCAGCTGATTCCCCCAAATATATCTTTTCAAAAAATGTGGAAACAGCCCCTGCATAGGTTTGCCATTAATTGGGACCTCTTTCCTCAAACCCAGAAAGGGCCCTCTAGAGCTGCAGGGAAAGGTGCAGATTTGACCTCATTGTTATGATTTTTAACATGTCAGGGTAGATAGCACTGTGTATAATGATAGGGACAATGATCAAAAGAAGGAGGACAGAAAGCAGCAATCTCACAGGCACACTGTATCTCACCACGACTGACAGCCGCACTCCCTCTGTGAGGAGATATTAATGTCTCTCTCAGCAGGGACAGGAAAGGGCCTGGACATTTTCTTCTCAGCTACAAGGATTCACGTAATCCTCTTCCCATGTTATAAACCCCGCATGTAAGCTCCCATGCTTTTGAGGGAGAGCTGCACTGGGTCCCTCCCTCTTATGAGACTGAGATGTAAGGGACCGTTCCATAGAAATTAAATTTCAGGTATAGTGAGTGGGGAAAGAAAATGAGTGAAATAGGAGGTTAAAGCATTTGAAATGCAGTGTTGTGCCTCCTTTCACCAAAGGCCTGTAAAAACACCATACAGCAGGGGAGACGTGTTACCAAGCATATACTGTAATGCACCTGTCACTACACATTTGCAGCTGAATGGAAATTAGCACCTTAATGCTTAAAAACTTATGTGAAGGGACACATTAGCTAACGGAATATGGCTCCTGCCTTCACCACTGAGATGCTGACTCAAATCCACTGCACTGTCAAGAGTATAAAATGTGGGCTGGTCTAGTTCATTCCATGTTAGGCAGCACTTGGCTCATTTCATATGGTACACTTCACTGAGTCCTCTTTTTAAAGCTACCACTTAGGATTCAGCATGACTGTCTAAAATCTGCAATGATTCACTGGTTCACAGTATGAGCCCATACTGTGAACCAGTGGATCACATCTGTCTGGCTAAGGCTCACATCTGTGTGGTGAGTCTGTCTATGACTCCAGCACAGGTACTGACAGTGGAGGTTTCTTAAGCTACCTAACACCCAAGACAGAAGTGGACTGGGCCCAATAAATCCTTCCACAATAGCACCTTAACTTCAGCAGCCAGGTTGTGACACTGACTTTCCATTAACTCCAGTATCAATTAGTAATGTACAGCTGGGAGCTTTCACATTTCACTGGCTACTCACAGGATTTTATTTCTCTGTTTTCCTTGCACTATAATGGGCAGAGACAATAGGGAATTTCAGCTTTCAATTTTGAATCTTTATGACAGCACATACTAAAAACAAAACAACAAAATCTCATGATTCCCTCTTTAACAAATATCACACAGAAATCTGAAGTGAGGAACAACTTATGGAGGAAGTTTTTAAAAGTTTAAAAAAATACTCAGGTATCCAATTCTACCTGAAAGTCAACATGACTTAGGCAACTGATGGCCTTTTGGTCTTAGGAAAGTCTTTACCTGTATGGAGCACCTGAAAACAAAAAAGCATTACAAGATCTGCACCTAAAAGCTGAATACAAGATGTTCTTTTCCATTATAGATTGTAAAAAGTAACATAATTTTGATTTGTGGTGTTTTAAAAAGCAAACAGCTGATACTATTAACAAGTAAACAAAATAAAATTATATTGCCACGTTGCACTTCTGTAGCACAATAAATACAAAGCATCTTACAAGCATTGGTTAAATTGTGCAACACCCATAACATAGGAAAAAATTTCTCCATTTTACTGATGGGGAAACAGGCAAAGCACATAGAGCCAATGTTACACAAAAGATATATGGCAGAAAAGGGCATAAGACACTAGGTCTCCTGACTTATGCTTCTGTATTCTCATCACTAGGCAACTGCAGTTCCTCAAAACAAATCATAAAACAAAGTGAAAAAATAAACGTGAAGAATAATATATAACAAATAAATATATATTTTTAAAAAATTAAAGATGAATATTCTGACTGGTGGGTGAAACCGGATCACAAACAGAGCGAACAACAGAATAACTCAAGGTGAGCTGTAGATTACTTTCTGTAAAGTAAAACAACAGAATGGCTTTACTGCCATCTTATGTTCAAAAGACAAAACTACACACACGCACGTTGCCATTCCTGCAGAGGACATATCTGCTAATGCCAAAGAACAGAAGACCTAGTTTTACTTATTCCTGAAATCTACACTTGCTGTCTCAGGCAGTATGGAAAGTTTGACTTTTCTATTGACCAAGCAGGAAAAGCATATGCACACCTGATTCCCTTTAGCAATCATATGTGAATGCCTTTACTGCTCTCTGAAAATATGATCCTCATGTCTGTCCTATTTCTACCCTTGCCCCTTTGTTGGTTCAGTTGGACTAAAGATCAAATGTAGACTATTAGAGGGGGAGTTAAAGGGAAAAAAGAGTCATATCCTGAGCTGGTATATATTAGCAGTTCCACTGGCTTCAATGGTGTGTATGTATAATAGTACACAAAGATGTATAAGAAGTTAGATATATATACTGATGACTCTTATACTTGATTGAAACCCACGCAACAAAATAAATGATTATGCAGATGATCTCTCCCCCTTTTGAAACAAGGGTCACCTTCTAGAATTCACTTCACTGTTAGTCTGAACCTTGGGCAATCATATCCAACAGTGGAAAGCAAGAGTAAAATACTACCCTGTGGATGCGTCTACACGAGATGTTTACTGAAGAGTGGTCTAATTAGCTCTACAACAAAGTCTCTGTGTTTGGAGGTGCAGTCCTACTGGACTACAGTAAGCTAATAAATGCCACCATAGGCTATTATTTGTAAATATACCTACCCTCCTGCAGTGGTGCTCTTTAGCGTAAAGCAAAGCATGCATAGATGCTGATGGGACTGGCTGGGGCAGGAGGGTGCTTCAGTGTGGGGGCTGCATGCTGGCTGGCCCCACGCTGGAGCACCTTTGTGCCCTAGCCAGCCCCTCTGCATCATGCTGAGCTGGGTTGGAGCAGCTTTGGGCTAACAGGCTGACCTCCTGGACTCCCTGCCACCTGGGGCTTCTCTGAACCGGCTCAACATACTGCAGTCCCAGGTGCATGTGTAAACATGGCGCCTGGGAGCAATAAACTCTGGCACAATGTGTGCCAGAATTTATTGAATCACATTAATTTCACATGTAGACACACCCTCTATGTATGACGGCTTTTCTACTGCTGAAGATGAGTCCAGTGTCTTGTATTAATGGTCCACATAACACTCAGGCTATATTATTGGTGTAAAGTAACTATACAGTTTGTCCAACAGTGAAAGCTGACTACCTTTATATTGAATTTATGTTTCATGCTTTTTACGGGTTGGAAGGGAACTTACAGATCATTGGGTCCAGACCCCCTAACTGTAGCAACTTGTCCTGAGTTGTAAATGTTATATGTATAGCTGACAATACTCTTGTATTGAAGAAAAGGGATTACTGATTATTTTCAGAGAAGTATCTCCTCTGTATTTTTTTATTTATCCTTTTTCTTGTACAAAACTGAGAGCAGCATTTCTGACCATCACAGACTATGCATGGAATAATGATCTCATTGGCTGTGTACATTTTAAGACAGAAGATTAAGCACTGTCTTAAGGCTTTAATTTTTTAAGTCTGTGTTTTGGTGGGTAGCTATATTTGAGAGAAATTGCCTTTAAATTTTGACTGGCTTTTGAAACTGTTCAATCCTTTCATTATAGCTGAACAAAAGGGAATCATAACCAAGCTGTCAGTTTTGGAGGTAAAGCTCATGACTACTTTGTTGGGGAATTTAAAATATCTTATTCTTTGTTAAATTAGTTGTGTATCATGGGGTAACACTCACTTAGTAACACAGTGCTAGGAAACAAAAGGCCACGAATGACGGTGTATTACACTGCATATTGCTACATAACACAATGCCTATAAACAGAGAAAATGACAGAGACCAATATGGAATTCTAAGAAACATCTACATTCATATGACATATATGGGGCTGAGAAGGTTTCAGACTGGATATAAGGAAAAACTTCTTCACAGTTCATGTGACCAGACTCTGGAATAGACTCCCAACAGGGCTGGTGAAGGCACCTACCCTGGAGATCTTCAAAAAGAGACTGCATGCACACTTTGCTATTTGACCCCAGCAGTCTTTCCTGTCCAGAGCAGGAGGGCTGGACTCGATGATATCACAAGGTCCTTCCAGCCCTAAACTTCTGTGAATCTGTGAGCAGATTTATAAAAAGTGCCACTTATCCTCTCTCATGTTTCACAACAGTGCATATCAACCTTTCTGGCAGGCATGCCACAGATTAAGCCCTGTGACCTCCTAGAGTGCATTCTGATTCCCTTCCTCTGCTCAATCTGTTGCTCAGCTTTCTGCTCTATGTCCTGTGATCCCTGCACCATCTGCTGTTCTGATTTCTGCTCCCTGTCATATCTTCTGCTGTGCTGCCTCCCTGTGCTGCCTCCCTGTCCCCCGCTCCCTGCCATGGACCACATACCATGCACAAAGGCTGCCCATGCAACTTGTGGCATGCATGCCGCAGGTTGGCTATCTTTGTTTTACAATGTGCATACAAGAATCAAGAAGGGAGCACTGTAGTGAATCATACGCTGCTTCTCTTTAAATGTCCAGCAACAGAATATAATTGACATAGCCTCAGAGAGAGATCAATGAACACTTCAGCCAGAAACTTGCTCTTGTCTAATACAGTAGCAATAATTTTGCTCAATTCTATTAGTGCTGTC